TGTGCGTCTGCCCCCCTATTGCGTAGGAGTGTTTTCGCACTCTGCAGTATTGCATTCTATACTTCCTTGCACTGCATAAGTACATAGGCTGTTGATGCGTGATTCTGCCTCCACTATTTTTTGCTCCGCCTTTTGCGGCCTCCCTCTCGCACCTTCTAGTCGGACACGTTTCTCTCTGTTTCTTTCTCTAATTCATGTTCGGCGTTTGAGGAGTACGCCGAACATCTTGCGAGTTTAAAGCTGCAGGTGCGTCTCTCCTATTGTCAGGACCGTATGCGCCTTTTTTTTGCTGCTGTGAAACCCCATCCTGTGGTGGCCCGTTCCTGACTGGATCCTTGTTAAAGCCGTTCCTGCTGTCTTGATTCTTATTGTTGTTTCCATGGCGGATAAATGTTTCCCCATTTGTGTTAATATACGGGTTACCGTAGCCACTGTTAGAGTAATAATTACTGCCTGCGGGATATTAGTTATTGTACTTGTCATTGTAATCATTATTATTATTATAATTATTATTTCTATTGTTGTAATTGTTAGATCTGTTGTTTGTATTATTGTAATTATTGTTTTCGTTATTAAAGTTGTTTTTCCTGTTGTATTAGTTACTATTCCTGTTATAAGGATCTGTTGGGCCATTTTTATAGCCCCTGTTATAGTTATTATCATTATAATTGTTAGCATTATCATTCCCATTCCCGTAGTTATAGGCGTTTCTCTTGGTATTGGTATTATCTACGGGTTGGTTATGCCGCTGCAGCTGCCTAACCTTCATTGGTAATTTCTGTTGTTCTTTCTCTTATATTCACCAGATTTACTATTGGACCCCACTTGGTCGTTGCTTTATTGTATGTGGGCAGTGTACGTACTGGTATTGCATGCTGTAAGCTAAGGTCGCTCTCTATTCTTAGCACTTCTTTAATTGCTTCGCAGACGGTCCTTGGGTTTGAGCATCTAATCTTACATCTATATGTTGGGTGCAAGCCATATGTAAATTGCTTAACTGCCTCTGCTTCTGCGCTTTCTTTCAGAACCTGCTTCTGAATAGGACATAGGCTTGTGTTCAAATCATGCAGCATCGTCAGCCTGTTATACAATTCTTGTACTCTTCCGCCATAGTCCTGTATTGATTCCCAGTTATGCTGTCTAAATATCTTGAGCTGTGCCATCAACGTGTCCAAATTATTAATGCTCCCGTATCTCCTCACAAGTTCTCGAAGAAAATCCTGAACTGTTGCGAATTGAGCCAGTCTGAGCGCGAAATGTTCAGCTACTTGTCCCTTTAGTATGCCCGCAAGTGTGCCGAGAAAAAGTAATTTATTTTCTGGGCTCACCTTTTCCGCAGTCATTTTTACCATTCTTTTAAATAGTGTCAGCTTAATTGGATCTCCATCAAAGAATAAAGTGTTGCTTGCCATATGACTGAGCGTGGGCAGAATGTTTAGTTGCACATTCTGCGGTCTGCGTGGGTGATTATGATTGTGTGTAGCGTATGTATCTTCTGTACCTTGGGGCGTAGTAGGTGCTATATCCTCCGTAGTCTATTCCTGTTGGTATCTGAATCGGCCTAATTTGTGAAGTTATCCATAAGTGGTGGTACCGTTACCCTAAACGTGACTTCTTTGATTTCTTCAAGTTCCTTTCTCATATCTTTCATTCTGTCGCATAGCTGTAGAATATGAGCGTCTCCTATCCCGGGATTTCTTAGACCTTTATTTTCGTAACAGGATGCAGTTGAAGTCGGCCACTACGGCTTCCCTGGCATGCCCCATTGCGTCAGCAGCATGGTCGTTTTATCTGTTCGAGCTCCGTATATCTCTTCAGCTCTCCTTGCATTTTGCTCACTGACTCGTCCGCCAGAAACAGGACCCGCTTTTTTGTTCATGCTTCTTATGTTTACGTTTGTGTCACCAGATATATCCCGGTGATCCCTACCTATCGGTGACGAATTTTGAATGGTCTCTGTGATCACCCTATAAGGGATATTCACTTTTTCTGCTTTCTTTAGCTTCGCTCTAATTTTTAAAAATAAGCCTACCACTATTGTTTTAGTCTTTTCGTCTAGGGCATCCAGTTTTTCACTACCTTCTGATTCAAGCTCAAATCTTAACATTTGTTCTGCCATACTTTCTCTTTGCTGCTTTTTACTGAGCTCTGGCCTGCTCATTTCGGTTATCATATTATCACCCAGGCCTTCGTTATCGCTGTCTGACTAATGGGTCATATTGCTAAAATGAATCACTTTTCTTTCCTACCTTTTTTATATATATAGATATATACATCATGAGTCGTATATTTCTTTTTTAATATACGAGATCTTATGTACTCTTCTAAAATTGTGGGGCTGTGTTCAATTACCTATGTCACAGCTTAATAATAATCAGACAGGAGAAAAAAAAGATTGTCGAGGGCGAAGTAAGAAAGTAAAGGAGTAATATTCGTCTCTTACTCAGTTTGTTTGATTCTACCCTGTATTCTCGTTTAGTGGTAAATAAGGAAAGAAAAAAAAATTTTTTTGGAAAATATGTCGTTTATCGTCGTTTAAAAAAAGATAATAAAAATGATAGTTGATTTTTCAGTCAATATAGATGTAAGTTGTAATATCTAGATTTTTTATGTCTCTTACCAAGCCTACTAATGAAATCTCTCTGATTTACGTTTGTTGTTTGAAAATTTTCCTAGTCCACTGCTTATTAAAGTCTGTTATTTTGCGTGATTTTTGTTTCGAGTTTTTTTTTTTTTTTTTTAAAAAACACTTAAAAGAGGAGTGAACGAAAATATATATATGTATATACATAACTTGGATTTGAAGGAAATAAATACTTCAAATTCTGAGTTGCATTTTGATTTTAAAGTTTGAAGTGCTTTAATTTTGTTCACTTTTTTAACAGTATAGTTGATGTCCTAACATTTGCAGTACTAACTACGACCGTCATGGTAGTTATTCATACTAATAATATAATAAAGATTAATGTTCTTTATAAGAAAAATCGATGCAACTATGAGATAGGCAATTGCTATAATAATAGTGCCATGCACTATTGCAACTTATAAGGCACAACAATGGCTAAACAGGACTGACTGGTATCAGAGACATATAAAGTTTACGACGATCTTTGAATTTTAAGCAACTGTCATACAGTGAAAGTAAGTAAATTGTTAAGTTTATCGTTTGAATTGTATCACTCATAATTTAAAAAAACTTAGAGAATACTTTTTTAAGAGTTCCGTAGGAAGCTGCAGTAACGTGGTGTAGTATAGTAGATTACATGATCCTTAAAACAAGTTATGTCGTCTCGTAAGTATACTAATACAAATTGTGAGCACACACACACTGCTTTAACTACTATTATTTTAGAACTTAACATATGAGAAAAATGATGTATATTGTAAATTACTTTAACAAAACTATATTCCATGTTTTTTCATGCATGAAATAGGAGAAGATGCAGTTCAAGTGTGATTTAGCTACTCAAAGAAGTAAGACTTCTTTTGATTTTTTGTTGTTAACACACATAATTTTCAGTGAATTAAGATCAGTAATAAGACGGCTACTGTTCATTTATTGCTTTATACAAGAAGTACGAAATTATTGTTTCTCTAGGTTTGACATCTGTACAGGAAATAAAATATGTGTAAATATATCTTAAAATGTTTCATTTTATGTTATGTTTTGAGTTATATTTTGTTTCTGTCAGTTTTTCAGTTTGTTACTATTCATTTATTTCCTGTGGATTAATTAAATATTAGATTTGTAATAATAGTCTCTTACGTTTTTAACAGACTGTGCATTACTAAAAATCTTTCTTCCTCATCAAGTTTCTGTAACAATTAAACTACAACTAAATCTTCTTTTGATTATTTCATAACTTTAACTTCAGCTTTATCTAACATTGCAATTGATTATTTTTTGTTGCAGAATTATTTATTATTTACATTGAAAATGATCGTAGTAGACACAAATATAAATTTTGTACAAGATGAAACTGATTCAGTATAATTTCTTAGCGCCTAAAAAACAGAAAGATTTGAAACTGTTGGCCAAGCATCGTGCACATAAGCTGTATTTAGTAAACAAAATAAAACTCTACCTTTAGATATTCTCTTTTAGTTCATGTACAAGGATAGACCTCTCTGATTAAAGTGGTCTTTAAAAATAGAACGATTCTATCATTGTTCATCCCTCGATAACCATTTTGCTAAACTGAATACACAGCTTGTGAGTAGCATCTAACAGAAAATAACAACGTTTTCAATAGAGAGTCATCACTTAGCACACTTAAAAATTTTGACAACTCACTAAGGCCTACCCTTAACAAATCATGTCTTACAAGCTTATACGATGTCTACATAAGAGAAATACATAAGAGCATAGCACATTCTTGATAATTTAGCCTTTCATTCGAAAGCGTAAGCATCAAATAACATTTTTACAAGCACGATGGTCGGCTCTTAAGAAATGAATAAATTGAGTTTTTTATTTAATAATAGATTACTGATACCTTCCTTTTTTTGTGATACATCCAGGAATTCTTGATTATTCGTTCAAAATTTGAATGGGTTTAAAAAAATTGCACACAATTTCTAAACACTTCTTTTTAGCGTTTACATAGAAAAAAAAAATTAATAGTCCTATGCATTTCTAGAAACATTTTCTTCAAGAAGTATCATAAATTATTATTTATCTGCCCAATTGCTTGCAACACACCTATAGTAATAACAGCTTAAAAAGTAGATATTTAACGAGCCAAGATAAATTGATTGTATTACTATTTTATTTTAAATAAAATTGAAACTTTTAATTCTTACAGCTGAACTTTTTTTAGATATTAGTTATCTTATTCAAGCTGTGCAATAGTAAGGATTGATTAATATAATATACATTAAAACAAACATTTTTTATCTTTGTTATATTCACGTCCCCATTTTATTTTTGTAATTATCTTTTTTGCATTATTTAACTCATATTTTATCTATTATACTTTAAATCTAAAATATTTTTTCAGTCATTGCTCTTGTGTATGGAGACCCAATTTAATATGATGATAGTTGACAGACCACTTATACTTCAGTCCTTATATCATTTGCACAATTGCTTATCAGATCGACATATATTGACTTGGGAGTTTTTTTTAAATAGATTTGATACTCTATTTATTGAAGCACAAATAATATTTGGAAGAGAAGAAGAAGGACATACTGTTCGAGGTACGTCAAATATTTTATACAAATCACATTTAAATAAGGACCTTGACAAATATCAAAACAAATAAATTTGCTAAGTACTAATTAGTGTAGAACATGTTTGTGATAAAAAATCTCGTAATTTTCAAAAATTTTTAACATTTTTTTTAACAAATCACTGGTTAGTAGCTTGATAATAGAAACTGTATCATTATTTTGTTATGTAACTGTAATGCTTGTCGGTAAATCAGAAGTTCATACGACCAATAGCATACAAGCGAATTTTGATACGTCTAAATCATTGTATCAAAAGGTGCATATGCATAGATGATGGCACTTTCAATACAAGCATTCTGAACCCCTCATACATTCCTTTTTTTTAACATCCAATATACTCAAGACTTATAACACTAAACCACATAGCTTCTTTTTCCAGATAATGTTTTCAAGAAATTTTCTTATTAATTTATAATTTACCGACAAGCATTTAAGTCCCATAACAACTTTATCGAGCTGAGGTGAAAGAGAGCTCTACAGATTAAGAATAAGAAACTTATCTAAACTTACGGTGTGATCGAACGTACAGCTCAAGTGGTAGAGCAACTGTCTAGTAAACAGAAGGTCGTGTGTTCGATCCGCAGCCAAAGAGGAAATTCTTCTTATTCTTGTTTATTTCTTAAAAAAATTTTCTTAAAAAAGAAACTATGTGGTTAAGTATTATGAGTCATAAGTATATTGTATATTGAAACAAATGGCAAGTATGTAGGATATAGAGTGTTTGTATTAAAAGTGCCGCCATCTATGCATATGTATTTCTTGATACAATGATTCAGATGTATCAACATTCGCTTGTAAACTATTGGTCATATAAATTTCTAATTCACCGACAAGAATAAAAGTCACATAATTACTTTATCAAGCTTAGGTGAAAAACAGCTCTAAGAATTAAGATTAAGAAACTTATCTAAACCAACGGTGTAATCGAATGTACAGCTTCTTGGTAGCTTAAGTGGTAGAGCAACTATCTGGTAAACAGAAAGTCGTGTGTTCGATCCACAGCCAAAGAGGTATTCTTCTCATTCTTATTTATTTCTTAAGAAAGTTTTCTTGAAAAAGATACTATGTGGTTTAGTATTATCAGTCTTAAGTATATTAGATATTAAAAAAAATGGCATTTATGTAGGACATAGAGTGCTTGTATTGAAAGTGCTGCCATCCATGCACATGCACCAAATTTGTCTAATTTGATATATAATAAATGGTTATGATTATGTTAAAAGTATTGTTCCTTTTACTCAGTTGACGAGGAATCTCAACTTTCTAATAATAAAAAATTTCGTTTGTCAAGTACGGGTACTTGTACAGTATCTACAAACTGAATTCTTATTAGCCTTAGCATTTGCACTGTTACAAAAAAAAATATGCATTGTAAGTTCTAATAAGAATCAACAGTGGTGTAAGTGCCCAAGAAAGAGTTAACTTAACAGTGAAAACAAAAGTTTTTGAGAAAATCTTATGAGTAATTTTTCGAATAGGAAAATGATTTTTTCTACTTACAGCTATTTTCCTATTACTCTAAGAAACTTTAATTTCACTGTGTCTCTCTTTTTCTGATCCTTTGTCTATTCTGCTTGCTGCTCTTGACTTTTTTTAAAGAAACTCGCACTGCTTTTACTTTTTCTTAGTTTTCTTAGTTTATACTACTCTATGGATTTTGCAAACTTCTTTATACAACTTATTAATACTCCACTTGACACTATCTGCCCACACTAATCTTAACTACTCCTCTTTTCGTGTCTTCTTCGTAACTACAAGTATATTCATCCTGTCCTTTACTTTTTCTCTCTTTCTGATGTACTTATACACATGGTGAAACGTACGAGCAATGATGACTCTCCCATGTATGCTGTTCGCGTTCCATGGTACTTTTCTTTACGTGAACACAAGGATTTACTTGACCTTTCTCTCACTTTTCTTCAGTCTCTCTTAGTCTTTGACCTTTGTTATCTCCTGCAGTGCAAAGCAGAGCCCTTACTTCTTTCTTTACTCCTGTAGTTCCTGCGTTACAGGAAAAATTATACTTTGTCTCAAATTCGTAACTCTAGGCACACCTTTATCTTGAACTTAGGTACGTGTTAACCTTCAGTGCTAGTAATAAAGGCCTCCTGATGTTCTGAGACACAGTTTTTAGTGCATTCCTGGGGTGTCTCTCACCTTAAATTGTGGTAGTTGGTAAAATTGTGCGAATATTGTTTTCATTGTTTAGTTCGTTCTCTGCTTAAAACTGATTGCCAGCATTAAGCGTCGCTAGCAGGTATTTCATTGGGTGGGCGTATACACTCAGAGAGCTATTTACAACGGAGACGAATGATGCGCAGTACACATACAGCAGAGTACTTTAAACAACGTAAGCTGCCCCTTCCGTGTGTTATGATACAGTCTCCCAACGCATAGAGTATCTGTCCTACCGTATGGCAGTGAAAGCATGTTTTTTCAACGGTTCTGTCACTGCTATACGCCATGACAAGTTATTACTGGGCAGCAAAGCTCTTTGTACTTAATATATTATACGTACGCACGTACTTTTTTTTTTATTCGTTGCATTGTAATATACTTTTCGCAACTGATTCTTATGGTGTAAGGATGATAAAAGTCTTCTTAGATACATTTTCAAGAGTCAGCTTTCTTATGTGTACATAAGCTAATGATTACAAGAACCCCATGAAGACGTTAGATTAAGAAAGAAGAGAACGAAAACTGAGCCATGGACGATTTTGTAAAAGACATTCTTATAAGCTGAAATTTATTAGAACTGATTGATTTCTTTAGTAGTAAGTACAATTTATGTCAACATAGTTGCATGTTACTTAGAGGTTATTTATTATTACTTGATTTCGTTGTCGAATAACTGACAGCTTAGTATCTTTTACGTCATTATTACAGTTCGTTAGCATTTTCCGATACCATAGTGAAATTGCTAAAGCACAGTTTTTGGATAATAATGAATAGTTCCATAAAATTGACTTAACGCTATTACTTAAAAAAAATCTGTAATCAGAGTACTCATTACGATTTATATAATAATTCGCTTTCGCTAGACGTATCTTAAAAAATGTATTTAAATTTTAGCTAAACATATAAATGGGAAAAAATTCTGTGTGCTATCAGAAAAAGATATTATTAAACTGTTTGTTCTTTCATGCAAAGAAAAGTTCACTTTTAAGAGCTGCTACTCTTTATTCGAAAACTCTTTGGGTACTACTACCACTACCATCCAGAATAATGCTGGCACTTTTCAGCATTAAGAGTACCTATTTGCGTTCCTAATAACTCTGATAGTACCTGCTTCCATACAATTGGACTTTAATCCAACTGTCAATTGGAAGTAACAAGATCTTCAGACGATTTACTTTGCACTGTGAATGATAAAGACAATTCTGCAGCTAGTGAGATATATATTCAAAATCCTCTAATCACTAGGGTCAATAGAAAAAGAAGAGCATTAGATAATTATTTAAATAGCATTATTTCTGAAAAAATTAATAAAACGTTAACTTCTGCAGCCCCAGTTGAGAAAAATAACAGCTTTGTTTTGCGCGAGTTGATAAATTTTAATAAATATTATACACCAAATAACAATTTTAACAAACATAAGCTTAATATTTCTAATAGTTTTGATTGAACAGAAGTTATAAGAATTATGATAAAATGTAACTGAAACAACTAACTTCTGTAATAAATAATATATTCTTTTAGTACAAAAAAAGAACTGTATCAATTACTTTGTGACAGTGAGAACATGGTAGAAAATTTGATGCTCATTAGCTACGGAAAAAATAAAGACACTGGACCTTTCTGGAAGCGTTTATGCTACATAGTTATCAACAACAAAAATGTAAAAAATCAAATAACCAGTTTAAGTAAGAATTTTTTTTTATTGTAATTGTTACATCATTAGTCCCAATTCTTTTTTCTCTCTAAAATCAACTGGTTAATGTTATTAAATGCTAGATTCTTGTTTTTGTGCGTAATCATGTAATAATAAAAGTATTTATGCTGATACTTTTCTAAAATTTAATTGAATGTTATGTAAAACTCTGTTACTCACTTACCTTTGCTTTAAATATTAGTACTGTGCACGGTAATCTCATTGTCTATTCCAATTATTTTATAATAACATTAGACATTTTTTTCATAGCATAACGGAAGCTTGATTTAACATCCAAGCAGAATTGCTTACCGAATTATTTGAAGTGGAAGAAGCTCATCTATATTGTTGTACTCCATACGTCACATTTGCTAGTCCTGTAGATGATAAACAGAAAATAATAGTGAATGCTCACAGATATTTTCTACAATGAATACATTAAATTTCAAGAATTATTATGTATAGCTAAAAACGTTTAACTGAGTAGAGTGCCACGTAATTCCAAAAAATACAGTGACTTTCAGTTCGATACTACCATCTAAAATAAATTTTGATTTGCCATGGGATAAAAAATATACATGTAGCGAAGAAAAAATTTTGTCACTATGGGATACATCTTATATTCACAGAAGCTTAATGATGCCGGACGTTCATGGAGTTCAATACATTCAAAATTTTCAAATTTTAAAAAATGATCTAGCTCTAAAGCTAGTAAGATGCGTTCGTTTATATTCATCAAAAATTGATTTTGTATATTAACAACAAAATATACGCTGATTTTTCCTCTCTCCATTAAAGTACAAATATTTTTTAAATATGCGTTAAACATTAGTAATTTACTAAGCAGGTTAGAACTCCTAACAAATTATTTTTATGTTAATATTATTTAAGATATTGTCCAATTTTCATACAATTTTTTAAACACATACTGATAAACACAAATGTACTTATACTTCTGAGATCTAAAAAAGATTAACAACATATGTGCTAACTTTATTAAACTTGTTGAAACGAAGGTTGCAGAATGGCAAAAAAAAAAAAACAAGTACTTATGTCAGTGATGTGCAGTTTATTGTTATTACAGATTATTATAACCACCATGATGCAATAAGACAAAATGCAAAAATAACTACAGATGGTCAGTACTCGCATCTCTTACAC